AATCCTGTACAACGTTATCATGACATGTTAAATATATTAAAATTAAGAATCATAAATCATAAAATTATTCTAAAATTAATCTTCTAAAATAATAAATTTATTTACTTAAAATAATCCTTTTGCAAAATAAATTATTTTAAATAATTATTATTATAATAAAATGATTCTTTTTCCAAAATAACTTCTTATAATTTATCATAATTTTTCTAAAATGGTTCCATTACCAAAATAAATTCTTTTAATTTATAATAATTATTTAAAAAATAATTCTTTATCAAAATAAAATTCTTTTCCTTACAGAATATAATTCATCAAACAATCTCACGCAAATAATTATATCACGGATCTAATATATGCAGATAATTCATAACAGATCTAAATTGTAATAAATGACAAGCTAGGCAACGGGATCTTGCACATAATAATTTACGACAAAACTAAAAACTAAAATAAAAATAATGGAGGTTCGGGATCATGCCTCGGGGCTTTGTCGAACTAATCGACGTTAACATGTGAGTCCGCGACGATCGTCGGCTGAGGCATGGCGATAGCGATAGATGGGCAACAGTCGACGGCGTCGCTGGTTACTGAAGGGTTGGAAAGGAGGGCAGTGACGGTCAAGGCGACTGTGGCTGGCCGGATCTGGAGGAGATCCGAGGGAGGGCGGCGCTGATGGTCTGGGCGGATCTGGTTGAGGGCAGCCTCGAATGGGGTGGAGGCGATTGAGGAGGCTAGTTGGGGTGAGAGGCACGGTGAGGCTGATGGCGACATGGGCTGAGGCACGGCGTGAAGGGAAGTGACAACAAGGAGCTAGGCGGAAGTGAGGAAAGAAGGAGGCCGGGATGGTGGGCTTGGTGGCGAAGGAGGGCTGATGCGGTGCTGCTGGGGCGAGCGGGAGTTTGTGGCTGCAACCGGTAGGAGGGCGAAGCTGGTGGTGGGAGGAGGAGCGACGTGTTAGTTGGTGGGCGGAGGAGGGAGAGCGCGGGGAAGAAGGAGGTGGGGGCTTGCTAGAGGGTTGCGGATGGTGAGCGAGGCTTGGACTAGAGGAGTTGAGAAACATGAGGGAGAGGCGGAGAGGAGGATCCGACGATGAGGGAGGGCGGCAGCTCTGGAGTTTGGGCAGATTTGAGAACGAGGTGGAGAAGAGAGAGTGAATTATTGGAGAGAGAGAGAGAGTGTGTGTGTGTGTGAGTGAGTGAGCTGGTTATGATGAGGAGAGGGGGAATTAAGGGAATGATTACGGGAATAATTAAAACAATAATTAGGAGCAAATTTGGGAGAAAAATTAGGATAAAAACAGTGTAAAATAATTAATAATAATAATAATAATAATAATCAAATATTAATTTAAAAAGTTTTTACTGTAATAATTAAATTTATAATTAACAAAACTATTAAAATAAATATAAAACCAGATATTTAAATCATAGAAAATTCTAGCAAAGCAAGAAAATATAAACGCTCTTTTAAAAATAATAATTTAATATTTTAAAATACCAAAAATTATTTAAATTAGTATCGAAAATTCTTGATCATTACAATGAGATCTCCAAAAGAAGGGTTCCCGACTTGCAGATTGAAAAAACCACTGTGAGCAAAATCATCCATGGAGCTGATGACTGACGAGGGAAGAGAGATGTTGGGAATGAACAAGGGAGGTGGAGAAGGAGAAGGCGGAGTGATGTTAAGGTGGGGAGGGTTTTTCTTGTTTGGGCAGGAGATGGAAGTGTGGCCAATGTTGTTGCAGGCAAAGCATTTGAAGTCCCCTAGCGAACAGTTTTTCACCCATATGGGATCTGTCTCCACAGAGAAAACACCTAGGAGGATTGGGGGGAGG